AACTGCAATGGGATTCCTAATATTCCTAATATGGAGCAGCAACGCAATGCACAGCAGAGGTCACATTCCCCTGGTGATTTAAAGGTTCAGTCTTTCTCCAATTTAATTTAGAAAGCAACTCAAAGCCTACCACAGGATTTTAAAGCAAGGCAGTAACTGAAGATCACAAATTTAAAATCTAGTGTTCACCAAGCAAACAAACTAAGGAATATAAATAACTTTTTTCTTTCAGTTTTTCTTTTTAGATTAACCTCTTGGCTAGATTCGCTCTGTGGTAGCACTCAGCATCAGGGGCTTCTACCACCCTGCACAAAGGGATTAATGAATCCTTCCAAACAGCCTACAGAGCCACCTCACAAGGCTCTCTAAACCAGTGACACTACACACTTCCTTTATTCAAAGGCCCCAAGCCACTGTTTTGCTAAAATGTTGCTCATGAAAATACATAACACGTTCATAAGGAAGTACAGGGAAGCTCATCTGAGGTCTCCTCAAGGCTTACCATGCCGAGAGAATCAGCCACCTTGATGAAAAGATAGGGATGAACCAAGAACGTAATGTGTTACTTACCGTGCAACCTTGCTCCTGGGATGCATCTGCATGGAACCGAACACAATTTTTGTTTCAAGTTTAAGCATGGATGCTAAAGAGTGACTTTTCTCTGAGACTGCGGTATAGATTTAGTCACAGCTCCAGTAATGATAGTACTGTCAATTTACTTTGCCGTCTGTTGTCTGGCGTTGGGTTATTCAGTAAGCTATGATGGTGCAATGTGCCAGAAAATACCAACAAGTAAAGTAATGCTTGTTTAAATGATGTTACTTACAAACAATTAATCAAATCAGCTTCTGTTGTTCTCTGACCAGTACATATGCAGATTCGATCCTAAGGCAAGCAAGCAATATCGGACCAAACAAAAAACCCATAAACACTACAGTCTGCACCACTGTAAAATAGTGCTTTGGATTATAGAGACTTTACTAACCAGTAATAACCAGTGTCATCTACATTTTAAATTTCTAGTATATTAACCACGCTCCAGCTGTAGCAGTCATTAACACGTGGCAGCCAGGAGCTCCAGTTCATACTGGATAAAACAGAAACCGAGTATTACAAAAATAAAAGCATGATTTCCTGATGGTCTCCCTGAATCACAGTCACCTAAATAAAGCTTCAATCCAGGAAAAGCTTAGCAGGAAAGCAATCATTCTTTTTTTTTTTTTTTTTTTAATGTGTAAAAAAAAAAAAAAAAGACCAGGAACTACAAGTAAATAGCAGCTGAGCAACAGATGAGGCACTAAGTGAAATCTGTTAGCAACTGCTAACAGCTTTGCTATTTTCTGTTGTTAAATTTAAAAAAAAAATGAAAAGGAAAAAAAAGAAGCAAAAAACCCAATGCAGTAGCAATTCCAATATGTTCAAAAATCTCAGCTACAAAAGACTAAAGCCCTACACTTTCACCTTCTTATATTACAGATAAATACTTGGGTTTGTCTTAATATCTTGATATGCTTTGCTATTGATTAAAAGGCAGAAACAAGCCAATTCACAGGGATATATCATCAAGATAAAACTTGGTATAGATGTAAACACGACCATAACATAGTACAAATCCTCTGTCACAGACAAGTGAGACATTTCTAGCAGCTACATCAGACTCCAGTTCTCCTCCCCATCTGATTCCTAGCCATTATGCAGACAGTACAGTGTGCCTTCATTAGCACTGAGGTTTCTGGTGAAAGCTCAAACATTTTATTGCTTTTTTGGCCAGAGAGCTTTCACCACAGATGATCCTTCCTGACTTACCTCAACCCAATTCTGCCATGGCTTCAGCAAGCATGTTTTCCTGTTTAGATGCATCTATGTGGCATGGTAGAACTATGCAAGCACAGCAGAAACAGCTCTGAACAAAGCAGCCCAGAAACAATGAGAAATGTGAACATACCAGTGTGGTAGACTAGCCTGAAAAATTCATGGCATTGCACTGTTCCAGGTAGATAAATCCTTGTCACACCTCTGCCACCTGCTTTATGAACCTATTTTCTCCTGGCAGCCTAGCAGGGGCTGCGCTCCCTATCCCTCATTTTGGAGAAGTGTCCCACTTGGGGAACCACAATACAACTACCACTGCATCTGCGGCAGGCACGCTTCAGACTTCCTTCTCCACCCAGCTTTCTGCTCCCTTATGGTGTTTACACTTCCAGTGCCTCCTATGGCAGGCTTCCTTTCCCATTTAAACTCAGCATGTCAAAAACTGAGTTTGTATCTGTTTCTAAATACTTCTTTCTACTTTTCTCTTAAACCACCAAGAATTAGTAGTCACCTTGCCTGCTGCAGAAGCTCACAACTTTGTCATATGCAGCTTCTCTTTTTCCTTCCACAGATGTTCTACCAATAAAACATGCCAGTTTCATCTCTACTGTGTCATAAAAAATCTGGCTGTTTCTTTCCATCCGTGCTGCTAAAATACTTGATCATTTAAACCTTCTTACTACAGAGTCTCATCTCTAGTCCTCCTGACAGCCTCCTCACTCTTCACAGCAGTGCTAAATTCTAGTGTCAAAAATACCTCTTGAATCTAGCATTTAGTCAGCGTTCAAGACTTTCAATGACTTTTTTCCCCATTCTTTCCTTAAAAAAACTATTCAAATCCATTGTTTTTTGTTTTTCACATCACCAGCAGCAGTTTTTCCCTGAAAAAATACCAGTCTGGTTCTGTTATTCTTGAGCTCACGTGGTCCCTCCGATTCTTTTGCAAAGCCATGCTGCCGTGCTGTTTGCCCTTGTTCCATCTTTACAGGTCATTACCCTTCTTTCACTTTTGACATGGCTGGGGATCCCCTAGGTCTCCCACTTTCTCATGAAGGAAATAGGCTTTGAAAAACAATTTTGTAAATTCTGGGATGAAACACTCACAAGGTCAAAGAACCTCCAAAAGCATGCTAGCTAAGCTGTTTGCTCTTACAAAGCTCTTACAAGCTCTTCTATAACACTTTCCCACCATCTTTGTGACTTTGTACAGATTTCAGTGGGACAGAAATTCGCATTTGCGTTGCCATACAGATAAATATTAACAACCATCACTGTCAGTTGGAAAGACAAATGGAATAAAAAACAAGCGTATGAAAAGAACAGATGTATAAAGATTGTGTACAACCAGAATGTGAAATACAATCTGAAAAAGTGAATCACTGAGAGTGGTAATCTATTGTACTCAGCTTTGCATATTGATTGTTATCGAATTTTTTGTCAACTGCAATCACTTGCCTTGGATTCTGATGTCATCCCCTGCTCTTTTTGGGTCAAGCATTATGCTTCCAAAAGACAGACCTTGTACTTCAAATTTTATCAATTCTCCTAGCAGTACACAAACCAGAAGACTTCTGTTTTTGTCAGATCTCTGCATTACTCTCCTCTTCTCACAGTCCCATCCACTTCAAACAGTTAAAATGAATGGAAACAGGCATAAAGCTAAACATATACAAAAAGAGCTGCTGAAGTCACCCTCCTCCTAATTATTCAGTGTTTTGACTGCAGTTCCATGTTAAGCCCCATTTCTTTAGACAGTATGAACACAAATGCACCTGCAATGCACAGGTGTGAGTGTGTGCCTCTTCAGCATTACTAAAGAGCCCCATTTGAATGCAGACTGTACCTTTATCTTACTTACATTAACAACTACTGAAATCATACAAGTTTGACACATAATGATGCCTGTATATTTTTGAAAATATCTCCTCAGTATTTAAAACTCACTAGAACAATTTATGGATTCCTTTTGATGATATATGGAAGCAAGACAGCCAAAAGTTTTCATGTCAGTATAACACAAACCATTCAACTCCAGAGACATATCAACAGAGAGTTGCAACGTGAGCTTACGTAGCAGCGTCCTAATGAACATTACTGCAGATTGAATGATGCCACACAAGAACTCCTTAATTACAAGTTAAATACATCTTTGCCTACACAACGATTGCGGCTTCTGCATATAACTGGCTTGTCTAAAATAGAACATGATAGGAAATATCAGTTCTAGAGTCAGCAGGTTGGAAAAGACCTTCAAGATCATCGAGCCCAATCATTAGTGCAGTATCCTCTTAAAGCTAACAGTGTTCAGTGTCAGAGGTAACCACATGATCATACAGTCAAATAAGTTCTTAATATAGGAGATAATTATATTTTGTACATATATATATTAATTGTAAATATCACTTAAATTAAATGCTTTTCTACTCAACAGACTGAACAGGTACCAGAGGCAGTGGTGATAGCAAGCAGAGTAACTATATCACCAAAGTCTACGGCAGCAATAAGGAAATGTTGCAGTGAGTTTTGTCTAGTCTCTGATGTTTTCAGAGACATAAAACCAATCAAAAGCCAAAACTGTTTGGAAGAAATCCAAACAATTGTGTTTAATCAAGAAGGGAAGATAACAATCTCTGGGCAACTGCAGACAATGGCTGAAGCTGTGAAGTAAAGATTTTATCACAGCTAGTAGTTTCCAGTAGCAGCAAATGTCACGTGTTTACTGTAACATAAGCAATTCTGCTCTCTCCAATGCCTGTGAAGAAAGCAGACAAGCAAGGGAAGAGAAGGCAAATGTCTGAATATGGGAGTGGGTCACATATGACTCAGAAATATTCCCCACAAAACCTACGCCCCACACACATGCTTGTTTTAAGCCTGAAACCTTGATTTTTATTTTTTTTTTCTGGCATATGGGAATGAATTTCAAAGGCACAAAAAGACATTTTGTCTGCCAAACGTCTTCTGCCTCAGCCACAAGTTTGGTGTAAAAGTATAAACTGCTTTCTTTTTAAATAACATAAACATTATTTTGAGTCCAAGTGAAATAATTTCTCCACTACTTTATGAGAGCACCAGTTGTTTCACATGTTATAATGAGCATGGATGGCTGTTTTGCTTTTTAAAATGACATACCTCAACATGACACCAAAGCCTTTCTTCTTTTTCTTTTCTGGATCTTCATTTTCTTCTTTCCTTTTCTTCTCTTTGATTTTAGTTTTGCCCTTTTCTTTTTTCTTTTCTTTCTCCCTATTTTTTTTGTCTTTTTTCACTTTGGTTTCAACATCTTCTGTTTCAGGGTTCCCTGGAGGGACAGATTCCATGTTCTGAGCTTCTTGACCAGAGTGAGAGCTCTTATCAGAGAAACCATCTGCAGAAGAAAGAAATAATGGGGATAAGTAAGGGGCCACCAAAATGCAAACATGTGAAATATAGCACAGGTGTCTACAAGGTGCTCAAATGACTCACAAAACGTATTTATTTAATTGAATAATTTAAAAAGCAGACTAAACATATCTAGTGAATTCAAGCAAAGTTCTATTGTAAATTAAATACAGAATTATTATAGTGACTTGTTATTGAATATTAATCCTGATAAGAAAACCTGACATGGTAAAGCACTACACTGCTTGAAATCTGGCTTATCCACCAGCTCAAGATAACTGACATGCCAAGTTGCAAACATTTCATCATGTGCTTACTTCAACTAGTGACTGTAGTAACTGAACAAAACCAACCCAGTAAAAATATGATCTCATTCACTCCTTGGAATCTTTCCACTTTAATATATCTGAAGAAGAAATAGACAAACTGTTCGCCTGATTGGAGAAGACCTGTGTTGTTTCTGTTTGGGGGCTCAGGATCCAAGCACAGTTTTATGCTTCGTGCTGAAGGAGACATTATTTCCAAAATGGGGTCTTTAAGAGTGTGGTAACAGAATGAATGAGCAGCAGGGTGCTATCAACACACTGCCTTGCCTATACCAGGGAATGAATTTCCTAGTTGAAGGGGGAATTGTAGACAGCTCTGTAAAACAAGCAAGATAATTTTTAGTGTAATCTGAAGAAGGCAGCTGCTTCTTAAATTTGAAAAATACAATTATTTAAGGATTGAGTTCTAATTCTAATTCCTCCACCGCACCCTTGCCCCAGAGGAGATCAGTGAAGACTTTACACAAAACCCAGTCAAGGTTGCATGGGGTACTACAAAGACAGCTCTCATTCAGCAAGGCCTGAGCAGCTTTTTAAATTTGATCAAATTCAACTGGACTAAATCACTTGCTTATATGTTGTACTAAGTTAGCCTTCAGCAATACTAAATGAAGGTGGTTCCCTGAAACAGCATCACTGGCAACATACCCTCTTCTACATCCTCAGGTCCATCATAAGACTTGTCAATGGCAGCTCGGAAACTCTCATTGCACCCCCGACCACGGACCACATGGGGCCTGGGTCTGTGAAAAGGGAGATCATTCTTCCTAACTTCAGCTACAGCAGTCTGAAGACTCTCAAGAGAACTGGACTTCTTCAATCCCAGCGTAGGACCAAAATCCTTGCCAGAAGCACCTGGAAAATAGTTAAGTTTTTACACATAAAACCACACAGTGAAATTAAAATAGTTAAACGGGTACATTTAATTGTGTACTTTATTAGTTGAGGCCTTTGAAACAGTATGCAATCAATGTAATTTGTTCTAAAAATAGCATCAAGTTAAACCTAGTTCAGAAGAGATCCTCATTCAGACTTGGGAGGGAATGGCATGTGATTTATAGACCTGACAACAATATAGCAAACTGTTACTTTCAAGTCTGCACCAACACTAAGGATGGGGTTATTTCCTTATCCTGAGGAACAGACCTTGCCTTGCAAAATGCCTTGTCTTTGAGAGCACAAAATACTTTAGATTTCAACTTTTTACAGCGATACTAACGCAAACAACAGGACAATATAAGAACAGAAGACCTTCAGATGTATGTCCATTTCCTCACACACCTGAAGGATTTGAGGATCACAAGAAAGAATGGTATGTTAATACTATGTGGTGACTTTAGCAATCCTAGAGCACAGGTATTTCTGAACTAAGACAGCGTGATAGGTGAGTTCTTAAATGGAAAATAGAGAATCATCAGTTGTATCTACATGAGGCAATTTACGCTTCCATTCCCTACAGGCTGAAACATAGCTGAAAAAAGAGGAAAGAAAAAAAAAGAGAAAACAAGTTTAAGGAAAGCCTGGTTGCTAGGTCACAGTGCAGCCTTCTTTTGTTCACTAATTGCCATTCTGGAGACTACCATTATTGCCAAATTAGTGAGAGCTAAAATGGAGTTACAGCAATGACTTGCATACAACACAAAGGTGCTTAAAATCACTACAAATGTGTGCATCAGGAAGAGGCAGGGTAGTCCCCATCTCAGCCTGAGAACGAGCAAAAACAGACAAGAGAAGCACAGTCACTGTAAAAGGCAGCAAAGTGAAAGACACTCTGATCAGCAGAGGAAACGCTTCCTTGTTTTTCAGGCAGAAAACAGCTCTGACGGGCGGCTTGGCGCAGCAGCGAGGGCACAGCAGGCCGAGCATGGCCGGCTGCTGCGGCCATAGGAAGGTGCAGCCCTCAGCCTGGCTGGGCCTACACTGATGGCAGTCTCAGAGCCTCACCCTGAAGCCTGAGGACTGGTATCTGCTGTGGGACAGCAGCAGGCATCCACAGCACCTGCAAGGCCACAACCCCACGTCCAGAAGCAGACGGTGCTGTGGCTGCAATGGGCAGTGGGGCCTGTGGATCTGTCAGCACCCACTGCCTTGGTCTTGCCTAGATCTTGCAGCCAGTGCTTGTTTTGAGGCCATGGCAGCACCCACGTACCTGAAATGGCCGTGTCAAAAGCCAGCGCAAGGGTGTTTATTCACACATCCCAGTACAAGCAGTGCTATGTTAAATTAGAGTCCTCAGCTGCGTGCCTTGGTAGAAGTCTGGGGTTAAATGCCAGCTAGAGTCTGTCTCCTGCAGAGCAGAGCCAATTACTCAGACTAGAAGACGACTCAGTCTGGTGCAGCCCGTCACAGAGAACAGGTCTTGTGTCACACACGGCTCTTAGACAGCTGCATGGGACACTGAGCAGTTATTTGCAAAATGTGTTTCCTTCTGTGCAAATAGCCATTACTTTGCCATTTTGTCCTGTTGAGAAGGCCCATTTAAGGAATTAATATTAGCAGTAATTAGCAACAACTTCCTGGCTTTTTATAGTTTTAAGAGAACAGTTACAGACTTATAGCAACTTCCATGTAGTGTTATCAGTTTGGTATTAAAATTAGGAAAAATAATTAAATGGAGTACTCTTCGGTTGCAAAATTCAGAACAAAACTGTCTTGGAAAGTTGCATCTTTTCTTACATCCCTAGAAGAAATAGAATTGTCTAACACAGAATTAATTGGCCAAAGTCATCATCAAATACTGAGCTACCTTAAAAGACAGAAGAAAATGGCAAAGATTGACCACATTTCTCACTGGCAAAGAAAGTGAAATTTCATCTCTAATCTTCCTGTGTTCTACCATTTAAAAGGTGTCCTCATTTATTCAAAAGCTTACTGTGACCCTTTAGTAACAAATTACTATCAGGCATTTAGTTACCCTTTTCTAAAGCTGTAATCATTTAGTCTGAAATTTTGCTGGCAACAACTGCAAGTTTCTCACTTACTATCAAAATCTCCCTATAAGAACCATCTGAATCCAGGTGAAGAATGACAGCATTTTTTCTTATTGATGACAGTAGGAGCAATGCAGTTTTATTAAGAAGGCAAGCATTCAGTCAGAGTTTCCTTGGGCATATCCACTAGGGTTTTCAGAGAGAACTTTTTAATTTTCCTGGTCGGCTTTCATTCCCTTTCCCTTTCATTGTAAGGCTGAAGCAATTACATATTAGTGTGCAACTAAAGAGATGGGAGCTGAGTTGTTTCCATAAGCAGGCAGGGCAGTCCCCATGCTTTCACAGGCAGCATTTATTACTGGATGCAGTACTGAGAAATGCCAGAGACTCCATAACAAACAAGTACCCAACAGACCCACAGCTAGAGAAATTTCTCTGCCCTGTCCCTCTCTGAAGACCTTTTCTGTACACCTTTAGGACAGCTCTAAGCATGAAAACATGAGTTTTACTCATCGGTAAAAAACAAAATACTGAAAAAAAATTCACAAAACAACAATGGAATCTCTTTAGAAGGTATTTCTAGATGGTGTGTGAATGAACGTGTGTAAATATCTAGCTCTACTCAAATTTTGAACACAAAAGTGTGAATTAGGCAAGGAATAACTTAATTGTTCGTAATGAGTAGAAATGTTTCTTTTCATGCATTTTAAATTTTGAGACCTCATTTTACTGTTTTCTACAGCATCATAATAAAAAACATCTACTTCATTACCAATAGTGCAATATTTTATGAATGTCTTCTGAACTTCAGAAAACAACAGCTGATGTCACTATCTGCCTATGACTGCCTGAAACCAAGTTTCCGGTTCCAAGATTATATTCATAAGCAATCATCTTTTAACTGAAAGGCAGAATTACAATCGTTCCATTTTCTTTTCAACATCAACACAGTTACCAAAGTTTTTCTTCTTTATGTAATATTATGTACTTTACATTCTGTCCTTATTACTATTACTGTTATTATTAGTTTCAGATATTTGCAGTCTTCTCTTTTTTCCCCACATATGCACATTCCATTCTCTTTCATAGTCCAGAAGGAAACATAGCAAAAGCAAGATATAAGCCACAAAAATCAAAGGGAAACAAGAGTGTAGAGGGCAAGGCAAGCCACCTCGAAGGCATGTTTGAAGAGAGGAATGGAAGAGGAGCCATAACCACATAAGTACTTATTCAGGCAAGGAAAAGCAGAGTTTCTGTTGTACAGAATCATATGATATAGCAATCAGGCTGACCAACAGAGCCCTGCGGCAAAAACAGTCAAAATGAATCCCTGCTGTAGGGATACCATTTGCATGAGAACAAAAGAACCAGCCCTGTTAACCAATGGAAAGATGTCCAAAGACACAAAATGCAAGAGACTGCCAGTGAGAACATCCAGCCCTAAATAAATTGGTGTGCGAAGTGAAAAGCATGGTTTTCTGTTTTGATAAACATTAGACCAAGATAGAAAACAGAAACAACAGAAAACAGGTGGACAGACATGATTCTTTCCCATAGGGCTGCAATGTTATACAGTGACTAAAATTAATTCACATTCATTTCTTTGTGAACCATTTTGTTTAATGTAGTTTCATTTATTTATAGCAGCATACACAACAGCGAAGGATTTTTTTCCTCTCACACTTCTACATACAGGTATTTCCTCAATTATCAATTGATTCAATGCAGAAAATGATATAGGAAGGAGGAATTTGAAAGTCATTACATCATTTAGAACGTGATTTTCAAATAAGTAGCTTAAGAGAGTATTTCTGAAGAACAAGCTCAGACCATACGGTATCCTTTTCTTCAACACTATTCAAGTAGCATAGAAAAATATTATGAAGGGCTTGATAAAAAGCAAGAGGAAATCACTATCTTGCTCTCATATATTAAAGACAACATGTACCGTTTTGTTCACTTTATACCCCAAACTGAGCATTTCAAATTAGAAGCAGGAATGCTGAAGACCGAACAGCCTCACTTCTGGCAGAAATATCTAAGAAAGAGAAATCAAAGCATGGGAAAATTTAACAAGTTCCTCTGATTAAAAAGAGCCAGCTACAGGCTTCAGATTTACAGATATTTCAATCTATTTTACTACATATAATGATTACAACTTAGCTCAGATTTGCACAAACTGCAATTTCAACCATGAATAATGGTGGTTCACAATTTGGAGCCCTGAATGTATGCTGAGCTCCAGGCAGCTGTAGAGAACATGCTTGGAATAAGACACTCATTAGGCAAGAGACAAAAATGCATGACTACTGTCAACGTAGCAAGGTGTGCTGGTGCTGCTGATTTCTACAGTCTTATCACTAAGAAACACTGACATTGCAAAGAAGCACGTTAATATTTCAGAAATAATAATATGTACAGCATAAAGCATCGCTAAAATACTAAAAAGTCACACCATGCAGAATTATTCTCAAAGAAATGGCACATGAGGTAATGCCAAATAAAACATAGCAAAGCCTGTCTTTGCAGAAAAGGTTGCTAAATGTTACCTGTTGAAGTAGTTTATTTGTTAGGCTATTTTAACATCTTGCATAATCTTCTGTTTCACAGGACAGTTCTACATTCAAAGTTTCCCTAGGCATGGAAGGCCTCCTCCTCCAGCAGGCTACTGCCTTCTCCCTACTCTTGCAAAAGGCAATACCCACCCTCAGGATAGGCCTGAGTATAAATTAAGCTTCCTGACCTACAAAATAGGAGCTTTCTCCTCAGGGATATTTATGTATATCAAATTGATTTTAGATATAGCTGTTGCAACCTGCTGGGGGAAAGCAGGTACAGGAAAAGCAACGCAGACAGGAAAAAGTCCAGTTTTTAGAAAATACGATTCCCCTGTGATTTCAGGCACCTTGTAAATTGATCAGTCTG